GGTTCTTTCACAGGTTCTTATTGCAGCAAATAGTGCTTCAAAGGAGAAAACACAGGTTTGAATTGAATTCTTGTTTTACTATACAGCTAAGTTTTTAAAGTGATATATGCCGTTGCATGTGATGATTGTGATGCTGAGAATCAGCACTGACTCTCCACCACCTCTCCCTTTGTTTAATGCACATCACAAAATTGGATAGGTCGTATTGTCAAATATGCTAGAACTTTTGAGAAGGTTTGCAGACAGTTTCCAGAACCATTGTTTCCATAAAAGGAAGCTTAGCTCCATTCTTGTGCATGCCCATGATGTGGTGAATCTCGGATGCCATTAATTTGTGAGAGAACGTAAGTGTTACTCTAAGTCGATGAGTGTGCATAGGAAGTGATTGTGAGTGGATAGCTGCCCTCTATGTTAGGTGTTTGGGCTTGTGTATGAGTGAATGAGGTGCAAGAGGTGTATGAGTGCTTATTGTGTATGACTAATGTAATGTATTCTGATCTATATATAAATTTTTGTACACTTAATTTTTAATCTCCAATATTTCTTATTATTTAGACATCTAAAACATTTTCTGAAGATTTTGCCAAGTATGACAATTGATATCATATCTTTTTAGTTGCTATTAATTCGCCCATTAATGATTTTAATGCTATAAGTAGGCTCACATGAAGGAGCTTGAGGAAGAAGTGAAGCTTCTAAAAAATCTGTCCCATCCAAACATTGTGGTAAGTTGTCTTTCGTCGATATAAACTCTTGGAGTCTATTGATTTTCTGACCTTGTACTTTGTTTTGGTTTCTTAGAGATATTTAGGTACAGTGAGGGAGGAGGAAACCTTGAATATTCTGTTGGAATTTGTCCCTGGTGGGTCCATATCATCGCTTCTGGGGAAATTTGGATCTTTCCCTGAGGCCGTAAGTCCTTGACGACTAACTTTGCATTTTGTAGGTCTTTTGAATGCTAAACTTATACAATCTGTTTGAGCAGGTAATAAGAACATACACCAAGCAGTTGTTACTGGGACTAGAATATTTGCACAAAAATGGAATCATGCATAGGGACATTAAGGTACTCCTCACCTGCGGCATGTATAAAATTGTCAATCACCTTTCCTGATGTTTTCTTTGTAAACGGTTAATATGTATCTCATATTAACTTTCAGGGAGCAAATATCCTTGTTGATAATAAAGGATGCATTAAACTTGCAGATTTTGGGGCATCCAAACAGGTCGTTGAGCTGGTACAGACATTTATTTCCTTCATTTCTATTTAGACGTGCAGTATCTATTATGCATGGTTACTTCTATAATGCATGGCCTATCTAATTGAGCGATGCGTTGTTGTAGGCAACTATTTCTGGTGCTAAGTCTATGAAGGGTACACCATACTGGATGGCTCCTGAAGTTATTCTTCAGACTGGTCATAGCTTGTAAGCACAATATTAGCATCTATTTGATTTCAGGCATGCTATTCGATCATGACATGTCATTTCTGTATTATCTTGGGTTAGAGTATTGATTCACTTCAGGAGGTGTATTGCTGGTAGTTCTTCCTAGACAATGATTGCAATTTTGCATTATCTATTCCATATTTCTTGGATAAGTAAAGAATGCTGATATATGAGAATAACTCTGCAGCTCTGCTGATATATGGAGTGTTGGATGTACTGTGATTGAGATGGCAACAGGAAAGCCTCCTTGGAGCCAACAGTACCAAGAGGTAATTAATCTGCTAATTCTTTAAGTCTTATAATAAAGTTTTCCCTCCTGCTTGTTGCACTAACGGCATGTTTTTCTAGGTTGCTGCTCTCTTCCATATAGGGACAACAAAGTCTCATCCACCAATCCCTGAGCATCTTTCCTTTGAGGCGAAAGATTTTTTGCTAAAATGCCTGCAAAAGTATGCTAATGTTGTCTTCTTTACATTATTTCTATTTGGATTCAAACTCTCCTAGATATGTGTTGCATTTATCTGTTCCATTAAACTATAAATATGATTCTTGTGGAGCAATCAATAACATTCATGTTTTAGGTAGAGAGACAGAGGAATGGCTCAATTTATGTATTTATTTTCTTTGAATTTATGTTTATTTTGGTCTTGTGGCAGGGAACCAAATTTGAGGCCAGTGGCGTCTGAGTTGCTTCAGGTAATTTAAATCTCATTAATGTTTTCTTTACACAACGGAGTTTCTTTATATCTTGTAAATCGTTTGCTTCCAGTGTAATTTTTTTTTGTGTTTTCTGTTGGCGAAGCCCAAGTCAACCCTTATCTTATCAAGTTCTTACACTTCTACTCTTACAACTACCTGCAGCATCCATTTGTAACTGGGCAACATATGGAACCTCATCCTGTTTTTCGTAATTCCGTCATGGTAATGAATGAGGTTGTACAATATTGCGGTTGTTTTTCACCATTAAATATTTTGAGTGACGCTTAATTTGCTATCATCAGGCAGAATCTGAAGTCCCATCTCCATCATATTCTACAAACCTACACATCTTGTAAGTAGTACAATTATGCTTCTTTGGAACTTGTAAAATCAGAGAATGTGTGCTATAATTTTTTTACAGGCTTTTGACATGGTAGCATCAATTTTGTTGCCAGCGAGATGTCAACCTGCCCTGATTCAGATGATATGTGTAATTTGGGTAGTTTGCAACACTCAACCATACATCCTAACAAGTTGTTGGGAAGTAGAAATGTTTGGGGAGGAAACAGCAGTGATGATGATATGTGTCAGATTGATGACAAATACGGTACTATGGTGGGCGAAGCAAAGCTCGGTTCTTCTTTGATGCCCGACAACCTTAAGGTAATTGAATTTGTGCCCTCAAGATTTGGATAAGTTTTAAGCAGTCAAGAAATTCAGAAACTAACTGTTTGCATGCTATTCTGTTATGTTAGAGCTTTAACCCAATGTGCGAGCCCACTGATGAGTTGGGGTGCAAATTTGGTGGAAGTTCAGAAACAGAACAAAATGGAATGAATCTGGATACAAATCACCAAATGGATTTTCCTGCCAGCCGCTCTGGAACTATTGGAGAGGGAGAAAAAGACTTTTCATTTCCTTGCGGAACATCACTTGCAGAGGAGGATGATGAACTTACTGAATTAAAAATTACGGCTTTTTTGGATGAGAAGGTACTGTTTTGGTTGGAGTTAGAATTATTTGTCTTCTATGTTACGGGTACATGCACTTGGGTATGGATGGGTATGTGTCTTGGAGGAAGAGTTAAATAACCAAACACTTAGCCATGCCATGCATGCTGACATTATTATGGAAAGCTGAAATTAAAGGTTTATGAAACTATCTTGCAGTCATGTTTTTTTAGATTTCGGTTTGGACTTGATTAATTCTGAACTATGCCATTGATCAAAATCTCAGGCTCTAGAACTGAAAAGACTGCAAACACCATTATATGAAGAGTTCTACAACAGCCTGAATGTAGTGTGCTCTCCAAATTTTTTGGATAACTCGCCTGATGAAACCACCTCAAGGTACTTGAAATTACCTCCCAAAAGCAGATCGCCTAGTCGGGGTCCAATTGGTACCCCATCTGCAGTAGCTGATGCTCTTAGTTCTGGAAGCCCTGGGAGTAATGGCAGGTGTGTATCAAATATTGGCAATGGAAATGATCAAACTGCACAGGACATGCCGTCACCTCCACTCAGTAATTTGAAAGGTCTTGTAGTTGATGGACAGCAAGAGCCAGGTAGTCCAAGGTTAGTTCATGCATTCTGGTTCATGTAATTCGATCTTTTTTTCTTTTTCTTTGCTCTCCACTCTTTTGAGTAACATCTGATATATGATAGTACTCGCAGTATGAGCTTCTCTGAGAGAGAGAGGAAGTGGAAAGAAGAGCTTGATCAAGAGCTCGAGAGAAAGCGAGGTAGATGTTTCTTTTCCTATTCTGGTTTCAAATTCCAACTATATATATTATTTGATTGGTATAAATAGTGTGGAACTTGTAGGATTCTGCTTGGATTTTGATGTGCCCACAAAGATTATATCTAGATAAATGTAACATAACATGTCTGAAGTTTAGTATTAAATAATCTAGGGAAAATGCATAAAGTGTACAAAAAATATAAAAATACAAACCGTCTTATATGTAGTTTGGTGACTATCACTTAAGTCAAATGGTGGTGTTATCAGTTTTCTTTGCTTTTGCAGAGATGATGCGGCAAGCAGGTGTAGGAGGGAAATCATCATCTCCAAAGGATCGAGCTTTAAATAGGCAGAGAGAGCGAACTAGGTTTGCATCTCCAGGCAAATGAAGTATGTGAGCTGGTCCTTGAGATGGTAGTTGTATCTTTCCTTGGGGAATTCATCCTTTGGAGTTGGAGTTTTGGAGACAAATATACCTGGTGCTCCAGTTTACCAGCTCCATCCTCTCCATGCGGGAAACAGCAGTGCTGCTGCATCCGGTTCAATTCCTCATTGTGCAACCTATAATGATGCCCTTGTATGTTCTATCAAAGGCCAAGCTAGTGATTGCAAGCAGGGCTGCATAAAGCAATGATCTCAAGTTGTTGGATATAAATATATAGATTCTTTTTGGGGGTTGGGGGGGAATCATACAGTGCATATAAATTGTATTATTGATGTAGTAATCTGGATCTATGGCACAGGCTAGATAGATAGTATACAAGAACTTGATGCCACTGTTTTTGTGTGTGTTTTTTGTTCTTGTGATTAATGGATTACAAAATCGTTTCCTGTGTGTGTAATTTCTGGTGTTGTGCATACAGCAGCAACTAATATAGTTGAATTTGAGTTTTATCCCAAACCCATGTATAATGAGATGTTACCTCAAAACTCAAACAGCGAGGGGCCCAGATATCATAGAAGACGGAGAGCTTTTAAAATGAGGGGTTCATTGAATCCAACAATCCAATAATAAATCTGCACCGAATTGGACGATTATTAAGGAGTGTAGACTCTGCACCGTAGAGGATAAAAAGAGAAGGCTGTGGTATGGCCCGATACTTGACATAACAATACGGAATGAATGGGCTTAATCCACAAGAAGACCGATGAGACCCGACCCGAATAAATCACAACGTAGCCTGTGCCTTATAATTTGATCATTCGTTCGACTTGCGCCTTATCTGAGGTCTCTTTTGATATTTTGATCTGAGACTGAGAGAGACTTCTCTGCTGAACTATCTCGATCTAGAGACGTCGGCTCATTTCCATTGGAGATTCTGATATTTCGCTGCTAAATGGAGGACGTGGGAGGCCGATACGGATTAACGATTCGAAGATGGAGGTTTCTAGGGAGGCCAGCATACGAACCGTCGTCGTCGTCGCCCTTGGTGTTCGCATCACGAGGGATCTGCGAGAAATTTGCATGAAATCTTGGAAAGCGTAGCGTAAATCTCTTACTCTCTTCTTTGAATTCGTCAATCTCTAGCACATCTCAAATCCTAACCTATCCCTATCCCTATCCCTATCCCTATCCCTAACCCTAACCATTTCATTTTACCTTGTTTTAGATCGAAGAAATTTGTGCATACGAACAGTCGTCGTCGGCCTTGGTGCTCTCGGTCTGCGAGAAATTTGCATGAAATGTAAATCTCACACCCTTTTTTTAAAATTCGTCAATCTCTAGCATGTCTCAAATCCTAACCCTAACCCTAATTTATCATTTCATTTTACTACCTTGTTTTAGATCGCAGAAGCTTGTGACCGGCCTCGATTTCCGAGACCATGGCTGGGTTGCGTAAAGAGAAGCATCTTCAGACCCATTCATTGCATAGCTTCCACTTCCAGCGAAGATCTTCAGGTGAATGTTTGAATTTGTGGTTCTTTAATTGATTGGTTTCTTGTTCGGAATTGAAAGTTTTAGTTTGGACTGTGCTGAATTTCGCAATTAGAACGCTTAAGTGTTGGGGAACATGACAATTCATAAGGTGCGTATAAATTTGTATATAAATTATGTGTGGCAAAAGCGAATGGCTTTCGTCAATGGCCAAAGTTGGCATGGTCCTTTTAATTCTTTTAGAAAAAGGTCTCTTTCATGCATTATTACTAGTGTGGTTTCTCACTGCGAAGCAAAACACACATGGAATCGTAATTGTACTTGTGTTTAAATTGTGTAAGTTGTTTGTTGCATGGTATGTTTTAGCTGCAATTCTATGTTTTGTATGTTTACTTTGTTAGAGTAAGCAAGAGAGCTTTAGAATATTAGAAAGCAATGTGTTAAGTAGCTTCAGAATATCTAGGAAGTGAAGTTTTAAAGTTATGATGAATGCTGTGGCAAATAAGTGGGTTTGCTTGCAGTACAATATGGGCTATAGCAGCCTGAATATGATAATGGTCATAGTTTTGTATGCTATGTCGAATTCATGCTTAAAATCATAATAGATTTTGATGAGGTGTAACTGTGTTAGTTATTACTAGAGGCTGCTACAAGTGTTCTAAAAGGCTTGTTTGAGGGATCTTCTTTTTCAGTCTTAGTAATAGGATTCTTATCTTATATTACATTGTATAGTCTTCCTCTGTTCAGGTTTATTTTATATGTTGTGTTTGCTGTGGGCCTCATTTTAGCTAGTTGGCTTGGCTGCTGGGTACTTATTGGGTTACCTTTGTCTAGGCCCAAACTTTTCGGTTACACCCCCAGTAATTGCAATTTGGGAGGGACTAGTATTTCTGATATCAATTTTTGGGGATCAGTACTTCCGCAATTTTGGCCCAAGAAATTTACACCTTAGTGTATTTTATCGGTTTTTCATCTGTATTTTTTTGCCAATACTTGATATTCTTTTCTGCAGCTATGCTTCTGTTTAAATGAATTAATTTGGTTGTTGTCTGCCTTTTTTGAACAGCCCTTATGTAAAGATTGAAAATGCAAAAAGGTCCCTGCCGAGAAGCTGAGAAGGCTTGGGATCTTGAACAGCACGGAATGCTATTTTGTGTGCGCGCGCGTTTCTTTTATAATTTATAATTTTTTCAGCTCATATAATGAATAAGGACAATGAATTACTAAAAACAAAAACAATTAGATAGCAGGTAAAAACAATTGCACGATATGGAAATATGACATTAATACGGCTACATACATCTTTAGCAGGTAACAATTATTCGGACAGTTTCCGGCCTTTTCATGTTGGAAGGCCCAGTAATCACCAAATAGGTCAACTAAAAGGCTCACGGACGACAAAATAGGCCCACTGTAAGCTGTATCTGCATACGAACTATAAAATAAGCCCAATTAAACTTAGGCAACGACAAAATGAGCCCCATTAGGGCCGTTCAAAAGACAAAGTAGGCCCAATCGACGCTTCATAAAAGACAAAATTAGCCCAATTAACTACGAAAACGACAAAATAGACCCAATGAAGGCGAAGAAACTAAAAAATAGGCCCAGTAAAGGCCTCAGAAACGACAAAATAGGCCCAATGGAGTCAGAAAACAACAAAATGGGCCCATTGAAGGGATATAAACGACAAAATAGGTCCAATACAGGGCCACAAAACGACAAAATAGGCTATATCGGGCCAGAAACGACAACATAGGCCCAGTAAAGGCCTTAGAAACGACACATTAGGCGCAATATAGTACCATAAAACGACAAAGTAGGCCCATTAAGTCCTCCAGTAAAGGCCTTAGAAACGACATCGGGCCAGAAACGACAACATAGGCCCAGTAAAGGCCTTAGAAACGACACATTAGGCGCAATATAGTACCATAAAACGACAAAGTAGGCCCATTAAGTCCTCACAAAACGACAAAATAGGCCCAGTTAAAACTTCATAAAAGACAAAATAGGCTATATCGGGCCAGAAACGACAACATAGGCCCAGTAAAGGCCTTAGAAACGACACATTAGGCCCAATATAGTACCATAAAACGACAAAGTAGGCCCAGTAAAGTCCTTAGAAAAGACAAAATAGGCCCAGTAAAGTCCTCATAAACGACAAAAAAGGTCCAATAGGGTCAGGAAACGACAAATTAGGCGCAATATAGTACCATAAAACGACAAAGTAGACCCATTAAGTCCTCAGAAACGACAAAATAGGCCCAATAAAAGCCTCAGAAACGACAAAATAGACTCAACAAAGCCTCAGAAACGACAAAATAGGCCCAATAAAGGCCTTAGAAAAGACAAATTAAGCCCATTCAAGCCCTCAGAAACGACAAAATAGGCCCAATCCAGCCCAGAAAACAACAAAATAGGCCCATTTATGGCATATAAACGACAAAAGAGCCCCATGTAACGGTCCAGAAACGACAAAATAGACCTTTTGGGTGTTATTGGGCCGATTTGTTGGCCATTTTCCAAGTTACTGGGCCGAGTTTTGGGCCTATTTAAGCGTTATTGGAGCCTTTTCTCAAATTATTGGGCCCATATTGGGCCTGCTTTCAAGTTAGTGAGCCTGCATTCAATTTATTGGCCCGGTGTCGGGTTGTTGGGCCCACATACGCGCGGAATTTCATGTGATTGGATGTCGGGGCCTTCTTTACTGGTATAATTTCACTTGTAGGGACCCACTTCCGGAGCTATGGGGCCTATTTAATGCAAGTCTATGATTCTAGTGGTGAAATGTTGAGCCAGTTATATCAAATTTGATTTTACGAAATTAAATTTTTTTATCAATCGACCCAATGTTTAAAATAATGAGTTCGTAACGGTGAATGGATCTGCCATCAAGAATACTACAGAAAATTTGATGATACTGAAACACGGAATCGGACCTACTGGGACTTACTGGACCTAATGGGAATTATGGGGCCGACCATTCAGTCATCCAGTGTTTTACGAAAATTCCTGTGTCTGTTCTGCTATCCCCCTTTTAGATATTTGCCCTTTCACTTAACTCCTAACATGTAATGACGTTTCCATATTAAAAGAAATTAAAAATTCGACTGCAAATTGAAAATAAAAAATAAAAAATAAAAAATCGAAATACTTAATCATAGAACTAAAACAAACTGAACAAAAAAGAGATTAAAAAACACTTGGAAAAACCATGCCAGCCGTTCTTCAACTCCAATCCTCTTTCCCATTTGGGTTTCATCCGTTGCCTTCATTTTCCTACCGCCTCAACCGGAACATATGAAAGTAGATAAGAGGAGACGGATGAGACGAGAGAGAGAGAGAGAGAGAGAGAGAGAGACACACACACACACACACACAAACAGAGACCATGCAATGCGGAAAAGAAACTGCAAACAATAACGGAAATTTGAAAAACGCCTCCAAGACCAAAGAGAGAAGTAAGTCGATGTAGAATAAAGTAACACACACTTGGATATCGACCCAAAGAAAAATCAAGTCATGTAAAACCAAATGATATCACTTTCATGCTTCACAATTTTTAAAAAGTTTTTTTTATTAAACAAGAAACTTTAGTTGGAGCAAGAAGAAAAGGAAGAACGAATGCATTATAGAGGCAGGAAAGAAACCTGTGAAACAAAGTTAAGCAACTGCTACACTGTTTGAAGGAAACCCATCTGTAAAATGTAACATCCCATAACCAAACTCGAATGTCAATGAGGCTGAGTGAGCTCAGTTAAATGTATGACCTGCACATTCATCAATAAGGAATAAGAGCCACAAAGAAAAACAGGGGGGAAAACTAAAGTCTGGCAAGAATATAACGGGGCTTTTCTCATTACCAAATCAATTTTGTGCATAGAAATGTAAAAATGCCAGCCACTAATGATTCGTATATATATACACACGCACATGTACTAGACGCATCAAACAGAAGCCAAGCACGTAGATTACGATGACAGTCACCGTACCAAGAGATAAACTAAGGTGTGGGAAAGAGAATGGGTGTGCTAAAAGTGGATGCATGACCGTCAGGTAAGATAACCTGCTTGGATGCACGACTGGACATCAAAATGTGAGACTTCATGCATTATAAGCATCATTGACGAGAAGGCCGGCAAACCACCACATCATACGAGGCGAGCTCCATAATAGAATCTACAGAGATTTAAAAAGTAATCCATATAACTCTCAAGCCCTAAACTGAATAGAACTAAAAACTGTCCAACTTATAAAATGAAAACCTAAAGCGCAAAATACCCTAGGGAGTTATTCGTGCATGTTCCATAGACAAATTGAAAACCGAATGCTCGTTTTCAATCAACTTAACAATGGTTGTAACTGTTTAAATATAAAGCACAGAGGCTAAGTAAAAACAAAGTTAGATATATATGAACAAAAATTTCATGTATTTTACATCAGCAGAATAACTAGGTTAAATTAATCAAAATATTCCGATTAAAAAATAGTCAAAAACTGCCTACATAGGGGAAATTGAACCTTTTCTTTTTCTCCAAACAGGTATGAAATGGATTCTTGCTACTAGTGTAAATCTAGCACTCAAAATTAGGGTTTAAATCATCGATTCAGACTCTTACCGTAATCTGAGACAGATCCTGATCCGCGCGACATGGCTACGTTCTGGATTGTTGTCATCTTCATCGTCGACGCAGAGACCAACGATCTCACTATTCTCTTTGCACCATCCGAAACCCTAAATCATTGCCTTGTTCGGATCCGGATCCGGCTCCGGACAAGGCAATGAAAATGATTTAGGGTTCGTATTTTGCCATGGGGCTCCATTCTCGAATGTCATCTACTCAGAGACGCAAGCGACGGAACCTAGGGATCCTCTACTCCCTCGGACTCTCTAGCTCGCTCTCTCGCTTAATCGCTTGGAATTGGAAGTGAGATCTCATTGTGGAGTGATTTGAGAGGCCATTTTTCGTATTTGCCCGGTTATGATATGGGCCTTTTTGTCTCTTTCCCGTTTTGGGCTTTTTATACGAATTTCACCGACCCAACAAAATGAGAGTAATTAAAAAAAATCAAACCATATTATTACTTTTCTTTTCTCAAGATATATGCATTTGTACCATAAACATTAAGGCAGCTGGCTTTGTTTTTTTTTTTTTCCCATTACGTAGGCTTTATCAATTTGTAAGTTCATTTAAAAAATTTTAAAATTAAAATATTGGTTTTTTTATTTATTACTATTTTGTCCTTAAAAAAATATAATACTCTAATTAATTGGAAAAAGGAATTTAAACTTTGATGCAACCAAACGAGATCATTGCCCTGGCCAATTAACATTACCCTCGCGTGCTATCATTGTTAATAATTAAGTTGTCTTTTAAGATTTTAGTCAGTACATAATAATTCAAAATAATGCCACAAGGAAAGATGAATGCAGCCAAAGAAACTGCTGAGTGTAGAAGTACTTGTCCATCTTACATATTGTGTGTGTGATTCTTCAGTCTAACAATCTTGTTTTCAATCTCCTAATTAAGGAATCAGAATGACTGCCTACCTAACAATTAGATTACAATTAGGAATATTCCAAACATTTTTAGGAATATTCTGAGTTAGGATGATGATGTGCATTTGAGATATAAAAAAACAATACAAATTTATAAATAAACCCAATCCTAGACATGTATTTATAAAAAAAACTCAAGCACTATCTAAACATAGAAACACACCCAAAATCAACCCCAAAGTCAACTTTTTGGGTGTGTTTATAAATGAGTTTTGAGTGTGTGTAATGATGAGTTTTGGGTGTGTTTATATCTTTAAATAGTGCTTTGGTTTTTTTATAATTTCAACCCCCATTTTGGGTGTTTTAGTGAAACTCCCAAAAAACAATTACACATGATAATTGTTTGGTATCCTCCACATAGTTTTTTTTTTGCACAATACTCATCCTTTAATATATTTATTCATTGAATTTCTCTCAACCTTTTACATGAAAGAATGGAATGACAAATTTGCATCCTTAAGCAAGAAATAATCCAAACTAATGGAACACTATGGACATTGAGGAAATATCTTAAAACACCAAACACAATTCAATCCAAACCAAGCCGTTGTGCATATATTATCTATAATCATTAACATGTTTAAATTCTCCGAGCTGAAATTCCCAATGGCAATGAGCAAGTTGGACGCTGTTTCAAACCACGCATTACTACTCCCTCCTCTTTCTGCTCTTCAATGGAGACACCAATCTAGTTGCCAATCTCGACGGCGAAAATGACCGGCGCAGTTTCGAGGCAGTTGACATCTTGGGAGACTTCTTGGCTATTTTTGTTGGAGAAAGAGAAGAAACCAATGGAGGGCTCTTAATCTTGACTTGAAACTTGGAAGCTGAAGGTGGAGACTTGATTAAGAACTTGTGTGGAGTCTGAATCCGTGGCTTATTATTATTTTCATTTCTACCAATGATTGGTGACCTTGTCCTGCAAAACTTCTGCTGATGTGAACAAGAAGAAGAAGGATCTGAGGACAAAAACAAAGGGTTGGGAAATAAAACACTCTTTTTAGCCCATGGCCTATTCTTGGGAGACACTCTGTTTGCCAAGTATCTGTTGTTTTCTTTCAATACTTCTCTCTTGTTTGGAGGTGAAACCTTGAAATTGATTCGAGAACGGGCCCGTTGGAGTATTGGGGAACCTGATTCTGATTGAAAGGATTGAGATTTGTTGTGCTTCTCCTTCTTTCTTCTGGCCCTGAGTTCTGTGTTTTCAGGGAGTTGCCTCTGTTTCCTCTGTTGGGTCAATGGGGTTTTGGGGTCTTCCACAGTGGTTTTCTTGGTTTTACTACCAACTGCTGCTACTATTTCTCTTGCAAATTGACTTGCTTGTAGAATTTCTCCGACTGTTTCACCTACCAGCATTGCCGGCAATGACATTCTCTGCCACTCCCCTGAATGTAAATAACAATGAAGTTATTGCCCAATTTGCTCTATTTGGTTTCCAAAATGAGGTTAGAAAGGAAAAAAAGAAACTTTAAATTCAAAATTAGAAACCCATTTGGACCAATCTATGATTTCAGAGAGAGAAAGATAGAGAGAGAGTTACCTCCTGCATTTGCTGGAAACTTCCCAACAGGAGATTTCCTAGGGGCAGAACCTTTAATCCTTCATAAAGCAAAAGACCCATTTGAGTTCACATATCAAAATTGACCAAAACTAACCAAAGAGTTCAAATCAAAATCAAAGGCTGAGAATTAATGATACAAATCAAATTCAAATCAGATTCTTACCTTGCAGTTTCTTGTTTGCATCGGAGGCTAGTCCTTAGATAACCTCTAGTACTGCGAGGGCTGAGACTCACTCCGGAGATCACCTTTGTACCACCTGAAACTGTGTACTGTAGCTCCTGCAACCGAGCCATGCATCTATCCACCTTCACAAACCCACAAAATAACAAAAACCCATTACTTCAAAAGACAAGAAATTCCCACAGATTCAACTTCCACCAAATATGGTGCTTTGCTGCTGGGAAAGTGAAGGAAATGTATAAAAAATGAACTGAACTTTCAATTCAAGAGTTGGTCTCAGAGAAAAGAGAATGCTGTGCTGTTGGAAACCAAGTAGCGGAGAGCTTTTATTTCTCTCTGAGAAAAAATTTCATGTAGTTTACCTTCTTCACTGTTTCTCTGAGCAAAACAGGATTCAGAGGGGCTACCATTTTCCTCTGCTTTGGTGGGGTTCTCGCAACCATTTTCACTTGAAAGAGAAACACTAAGTGGGTCTCAAATATCTCTCTCTCTCTCTCTCTCTCTCTCTCTCTCTTTCTCTCTCTCTCTAAATACCCATGAAATGGGTTTCTTTCATTTACTCTCTCTCTCTCTCCTCCTCTCTTTGGTTCCTTTTTGGCTTTCGCAGTTTGTCTCCGGAACTGAAAAGTCAAACGGGTCTAGAAGCAGAACACTTTTGGTAACGGATCTTTTGTTATGTTTCTCTGCTGGAGTCCAACGGTCGAATTTATCCAATGAAAACGGCTACTTTTGGTTTCAATTTAGCCGCAAATTTTTCCTCTTTTAAAAGGGTGAAGCTGTTATTACGCATAGATCTAACGGTCGGTACCCTTTCTTACTTTAGTCATTGTGCAGCTACAGTCCATCAACCACCATGGACACCATGCTCGAATTTGAACCATATTGCATATCAGTCTCACAATCTATAAATTCATTTTCCCCTTTCATATGAATATAATTAAGAGAGTTTCACTAAAACACCCAAAATGGAGGTTGAAATTATAAAAATACCCAACACCCAAAAAACTTTATAAACACACCCAAAAAGTTGATTTTGGGGTTGATTTTGGGTGTGTTTCTATGTTTAAATAGTACTTGGGTTTTTTTATAAATACATGTCTAAGATTGGGTTTATTTATAAATTTGTATATAATTAATTTCCCTTCTTTTGAATGATCCCTTTTCATTACTAGATTTGAATTCTATACATATTCAGACTGCAGATGTGATGTCGTGGCAGAAGGGTTTTCATATTTTCTCAGTTCAATCAGTATTCTAATTTATAAAGGAATTGGCTCATGACTTCTTGAAATCTCAAATTTAATTTAACAAGGCAATACTAAGAAATGCACTTTGTAGTGAAAATAAGAATGATTGGTGGTAAGCAAGAAGCATACAATTGCAACACTATCCCAGAAGTTAAAAGGTAAATAACAAAAAAAGAAAAGAAAAAGGATTTACTGTTCCACGGTGTTTGAAAATATAGACAGTGACTACTTGATTCATTGCATCTCATAAGAAACTCGGGAAGGCAGTAACAGTGATGGCCTTCTGTTATTTTTCATGCCTCTCAACTTGAGCGGACTCCAAATTACTGGTTTCCGCTGTAATGCAACAGCTGTTGGATGCCTCTCCTTTGCTGAGCCAAGCTGTGCCGGGGGACTACTCATGAACTTACTGCTCCTCCTCATGGTAGCTGGTGTTGTCTCAGCTTCTGTTGTCAACTCAGGCATTGGAGAGAACAGCCTGGAATACCGTGCCTTTCGTGGATCCCTCATGAATGACTGTCTGCAATTGTTAAATCGAGAGGCAGAAGTATGGAGGGGCGTTGTCATGTGAGAGTTTGGCTCAGGGCGATAGGTAGCAATGGAAACCCGTCTCTTAGGCTGAAAAATCTGCGAGGTTGTTGTAGTTGGAGGTCTGACAGCAATGGAGATTCGTCTTGGTAAAATTAGGCTTTTTTGGTTTCTTCCTGCCAATGTTGTGGAAATGTTTTCTTTGCCATCCATTGAAGATGGGACAACAGAAGTTGTACAGCTGGGTTTTTTGGGTGGTAAAGCTGGGGGCATGAAGTTGGTAATTCTTCGCAGAGGTAGCCTCGATTTTGAAGGAGCCAACGGTGGCTTCTTCTCTACAGCAGTCTTCTGGGCTGCTTGTTTCCGAAATGATGATGCTGAAGACTGATGAGAAGCAGCTGCAAAAGCTCTAGTCTCCTGTTTCAGTCTTGTCTTCCTTTCCTCTCCCAATTGGTTCTCAAGGTCTCGAACCTATTATGGACAAATGTAGTTGTTAATCTATGAATACACTGATAAAAAATAAAAATAAAAACTCAGTAAGATAAATCAACTTCCCAAAACTCAGGGGAAAGTTGTCTCTTTGAGTTGTATTGAGAATGGAATACCTTTTCTTGTAGATTTCTGCAGATGTGTTCTCTTGCAGCAAGCCTCAACTGCAAAGACTGTAAGCCATCCTGTAGTTTTTTTGTTTCCTTCTCATCTTGCTTAGCCTTTTCTGCCTGTTACATTGGAAATCTAAATATTTTAACAATTTGAAACCAAGGGAAGAAAGAATAAAGTAAAGGGTTAAATTACTATAACATACCATTTGTTTGTACTTGAATAGCTCAGTGAGGTCTGCCTGTTTGCGAGCAGGGCCACTCTCTATTCCCCG